GCATGCCATCTGCCTTATGTTGCACAACATCAGCAGCCGAGCCACGAGGCGGCCCTGAGAAACAAGGCGCCCAGGGACCTACGTTGTGTTGAACTAATYGGACCCGTAACCATATGAGTGATCAAGCTGATCTGTGTGTTTGCTCTCTCTCTCTTGTGTCAAAAAGATTGATCGGGGGACGCGCGAATCACTTTTGTTCTTAATGGCATCTCATGATATTTTGTGATTGATTGACATGTGGACTGACAAGTACCCTTCGATTGGGTGCCAGCCTCCYGTATCTCCCATCCCAACACGACCTTTTCCTTACCGTGAGGAAAGGACCTGTGTATGTGAGTGGGACGTACGAGAAGCCGTTGCACAAATCGGCGGGCAATATTACTTCCCTCCGGCMAACCGCTGTTCTRGGTTTGTAGAAGCCGGGTTTGTTATTATTGATACGCACTTCCCACCTTACTCGATATTGTTGCCATTTAACGAGTTGATTGTCATTCCGTGGACGGCAGTAGAAACCCACYGGCCGCGCACTCTGTGCATCGAATGTCAGCGTTTTAAGCGCTACGAGTCCAGGGGTTTTCACTACCATGTGTGGAGCGAAGACGAGATTTGATACGAACCAGCGAACGACGACGAGATTTGATACGAAAATCGCTAACATCCCTGCCCCCTTCCCCTTCTTCYCCAACCATACCCATCCCGAGGCTTGGCTAGAAGCTGTCGAAACTCAAAACTACAACGCAACCGATCTTCCCCGTGTTCTGACTTTACTACTCCGCAATACATCACACGACTGGTTCAGAAATCATACATGGGTAGATTGGGAGACTTTTAAGCATGCATTCTTGGCTCGATTTGACACGGTTASTGAAGATGCCGCCAGGTACGTGCTAAAAAATCGACCCCAAGGACCAGGGGAACTGTTACTCGATTTCGTTGATCGATTTTAAACCACATTGGATAAATCCGGGCGAGACGAGAAATCTGCTCGAGACTTGTTTATTGATCACCTTCGAAGTCCGACCTTGAAAGGGAAACTGCAGAAAAAGGTTCCGCCAAAAACAACCCAATAATTGGCTATCATTACTAAAGCAGTGGAACTAGACTTGGCTGATACAAAAAAAAATATCAGCCAGGGAGATGAAGACATTACGGAGACCATACGGGATGTAACGGCTAAAAGGCGATCGTGGTTGCAGGCAGTCGAACGATTTTATCCCCGCCCCGACCATGACCTTCCCAGCGGAATCGTTTCCGATATCCCGACTACTTCTCCTTCATCTCCCCCGGTGAATCAAYCGATCGCATMCATCAGAAGCGGACCTTCATCTAAGCCCCCCTCGCCGGCCGTAACCAATCTACACCTTGCCCAGATAATCCATACGGCTACTAACAAGCAGTCCGAATGGATGAGCAACTTGATCCTGATGCAGACTGCTCATATGGAACGGTTGGAATAGATAATGAGCAAGCTCATTAAGCCTAACCCATCTCCTGCTCGGCCTGCCCCTACATCGTTTCCACTCTTACCTGCTCCGCCTRCTCGAGGATTTGCCCCTCAGTTTTCCYAGTTTGCTAATCCGGCAGGAAAGATCGAATGCTTCAACTGC